GGATTAAAGGCATCTCATAAAACATTACAACATTTGAAATTTAGTAAATTAAGTGAAGACACAAGTGAATGAATAACTGATTATAAAAATAACATTAGGCACTGTGTTTGGAGTGCCTGCCGTATATTAGGCACTAAACTAAGTGCATTTTAACTCTCATTTTTCATCTCATTCTCACAACAGCCCTGCAGAATGAGAACTAGTCTCCTAATTTATACATAGGTAGAGAATGGGGCTCGTATATGTTCAATGACTTGTCCAAAGCTCTACAACCAGTAAACAGAGAAGCAAGGTTCTGTCTTACTCCAAAGGATTTTATAGGTCTACTCTGGTTCACTGAATGCTTGAATGAAGAAATAAATAGATGAGTGGGTTAGTGACTAAATGAAGTAGTGTCCCACTGTTGTTTCACATGGTTTGGGCCACAGCGTCAAAGATTTTGTACACAGAATTTAGCATGACACCACACACGTGCAGAACATTAATAAAGATGTTTCGCAATGAGATTCACCCATGACGACATTCTTAAGAGTTGGGGCCTGATCATTTGAACTGATTGGTGCTGCATATTACGGGGCTATCGCAAGAGGTCCTTGAATGTCCACTTTCTGTCTTCAGAGAGGTAAGAGTTATGGTGATCTAGTCTGCAAAGGAGCGTAATGCCGGCCTCTGGCAACATTTCAAGCCTTCACTAAGCCTTCACTGGGGCACTTCTTTGCCTTGGCCCTTGATTGGCATGTGCTCATCCCATCTGTTGTCATGATGGTAAATGTTTAACGATTGGCTTTCCAATGAAAATAAGCCATGATTTGTAATGTTTACTAATTTTGTTGGTATAAATACCCTCATAATAGCCAACTCCCAAGCTATCTACCTGGCATAACTGAACAAAGAACTGGGAAGACATGATAGCAATCAACTCTCCTGAGTCCATACGAGCCAGCTCCAGCACACTATGGATCCAATTCCGTAACCTGGCCCATGAGTGGTCCTAATTGTCAAAATCCCTGGAGAAGCATGCCTGGGCAGGACTATGGTGCATCCATGCATCGTGACAATTATATATTCCTCAGAAGAGGTACCTCCCCACTTTCCTCCTTTCCCCCCTCAGTTGGGAGGAGCGACCCTTCCCATTGACACATCCAATAAAGCTTTTATGGCATGATGAGCCATGCTTGGACTCCGTGACTCTGTTCAACACTATACATCCCACCCACAGAAGAAGGGGCTCGGGGATTTAGTTTTCTCATGATTTCCCCCAAATTCTAATTCCTGATGAACGGCGGAAGAGCAGATGCCCAGCTTGGATGTTCCCGCAAACCATGGGACAGATGTGAAGTGCAGTTTCCCTGTTTCAGTGGCCGCAGTAGGCTTCCCAAGTCCTCGGTGGTTCACAGTCCTCAGGTCCTTATCTCTAGGAGTTCTCTTTGTTTTACCTTTTCAATAGCCTCCCCTGCACTCCCCTTGGCCTCTTCTTCTGGCTCACGCGCAGCTCATTCTCTACATAACAGCACAACCATGCTGCTCTCTGGTTTCTGGAATCACTCCAAACTCCCCTCCTCCGGTTTTCAGTCCTGAAGTTCCCTCGGCTAAAGCACCCTTCCTACGCATGCTCCCTACCGATCACATGAGGCTCAGCTGAAAGGACATCTCCATGATGTAGCTCCTGAAATCCCCATCTAGAACATATTTCTCCCTGTTCTCCGGGCACGAGGCACTGTATTAGTGCCTGCTCTTGATTTATGCCATATTGTGTCTCTTATAATAGCTGTATATGAGCATATCTGTTTTATCCCTGCGAAAATGTGAAATCCACCAAGGCAGGAACGTTGTCCAATGTGCCAGTGATTTCTCGTAGCACTTAACACAGAGACTTATGAGTTCTGGAATTAAGAAAATCTTCCTTGAATTGAATCTAATGAATTGAAGTCAATTTTGCAAAGTGGGTCTGAGTCAAGCCCCATGGAAATCTATGCAGGGATCTTATGTGCCCATGTCTGCTCTTTACTTGTAGATAGTCCCGTCCATTTATGCTCTGAGTGAGATATAACAACAGTAGGGCGCTTTGCTGGGTGGGCATTGGGGTGGGGGAAGGATACAAGGGTGAATTAGATATAGTCCTTGGCTTTAAGGAGGTTACACTTTAGCAGATAGGCAAGTTTTTAAACAACTGATTTTAATCAATAGAGAACTCTGATGATACTGTGGAAGTCATCCATTCACCAAGAAGAAATGAAAGGTGATTAAGTTAATAGAATTTTGGAAGGTAAATAATTAATGAAGGAACGCATTTGAGGTGGAGGGAAGAGACAGAAGCTTAGTCAGGAGGTAAGCGTGTTTGGGGACAGTGTGAATATGGGCAGAGTGGAGAATGCAGAGGTGGCTGAATGGAAGGGTGAGACCAGAGCATCCTAGAGGCCCAGGGACTGGCTAGTGGGCAGTTCTTGGTGATCCGATTCCTCTAGAGCTGGGATATATTTAATCGGAAGAAGAAACTAAATAATGGCCTATAAAATTGCTTCAGGGAGCATGGGGAGGGAAAGTTCCTTCCTTCCTTCCTTCCTCCCTCCCTCTCTCCCTTCCTTCCTCCCTCCCTCCCTCCCTCTCTCCTTCCTTCCTTCCTTCCTTCCTTCCTTCCTTCCTTCCTTCCTTCCTTCCTTCCAGACTGGAGATGGTGAGTCAGGAATGCCTCTAGGAAGAAGGATATTTAGGTTGAATTAAATGAAAATAAAAATAATCAATAGAGTAAAAGGGGAAGAAAGCTATTTCAGGGGCGAAGACACAGCCCGTGAGAGGGGTGGAACCCTGAGAGGGCACGGTGTCTTCAGGGTGCAGCAGGTACTGCTGTTCCTGGAGCCCTGGGCACCCAGCAAACAGGGGCAGGAGATGAGGTGACATAAGTGAGAGAGGTTCTGCCAAATAATTAAATTAACAGAGAGAGTGGCTGGGCCTTTTACTGCTTGTGTAGAAATGAGAGGACTACTTGGGGGGGAGAGTGATTAGAGCCTTGCTACTCAAGGGTAATCTTTAAGCCAGAAGCATCAGCGATAGCTGGCAGCTCGTTAGAAATGCAGAACCTCAGGCCCTGCTCTGGACCTGCTGAGGCTTGAGAAACAGTGGTGACAAGCACAGAACTACTGAGTTTGAATCCGGCTCTGCCATCTGTTGGGGTATAACTCTGGTCCTCTCACCTTTCTTCTCTGGGCAGCAATATCCTCAGCAATAAAGTCGAGAAGGTCAGTGGATTCTATTGACATTTGCAGCTGTAAGGTGTGTGTGTGTGCCTGTGTGAGCGTGAGTGTGTTTAATTCTAGGGGATATTGGTGGAAGAGCTGATTATTTTCAAATCTGGCTAACACATGCCTGCTCCCTGGATGACCCACTGTTTGGAATTATGCCCTTAAGCCTGTGGCTGAAGGAAAAGATCATTAGAAACCACAGACGTGCTCCTGAAGGCTGATTAGCAGCAGAAACCAGGTCAGACCCTCAGCACTCGGCACTCAGCACTCGCCTGGCTGGGGTTTCGTGGAGGGGGGCAAAGCATAGGATCACCCCTGTTCCCTCCCACCAGTAGCCTTGCCTCCTTTTTAAGGAAAGAAAGAAAATGCAGCAGCACCCACGGGACCAGATCCAGAGGCACATGATTCTACAAGGTTTCCCTGGCTATAGGGTGAGAAAAATCCAGAACGTGTGTATGTGCGTGTGTGTGTGTGTCAAGAGTAGCGGGGTACTTCTTAGGGTGACGGTGCCTTAAAGCCCAAGTATCTGAATGGGGAGAAAGAAGAGGGGCCACCTGCTCGAAGGGTACACTAGAGCTGCACTGCATTTTCCAAACAGCTTCCCCAGCAGGCCTATGTAAAGGCTACAAAAATGTGTCTGAACTGGTTCCCAACTAAACAATACCAGAGAACGGAGGTTAGAAAGCAAAACCATGGCCCGACACTGCAGAGACACAGGGCTAGCCTGGAGGAGCCCTCTCCTTACTTCTGGACTCCTGCCCACAGAGGAGGGGGCGAGAGCATGGACTGAGGGGGCACTGGGCCGCGAGACCCCTCGGCTCCGCGCAGAGGCAGGCCCAGGGCATCCATGCCCTGAGTTTTCCAGGAAAGATCACTGGGCTCTTGTTAACAGAGAGAGAGGAATGAGAAAATAGACCAACACAGATGGCAGGAAGGAGCAGAGGGCTGGCAGGGAGCAAGGAGAGCTGGACTTCCAGCACCAGCTCTTTTCTCACTTGCTTTGTGACCATGGCAAGTCTCTTCTTCCTGGCTCCTGTTTCCCTGTTTGTGGACATTAAGAACTGCCACTTAGTGAGCAACAGCTATGACTAGGGTATTGTCCATTTACCATAAAGAAGACAGTGTCTCCTGGGTTTAAAGGTCACCCGTATGTTGCTGATTCACAGATTTCTGTCTCCAGCTAAGATCTCTTCCCTGTATTCAACTTTTGGACCCGGACGCCCATGTTCCTTCTCTACTGGATGTTCAGAAGTCATCTTGAACTTGCATTCAAAACAGCTCCTGTGCTATCCCTCACCTCAACCCTGACCCTCCTCTGGCACCTCCTGGCTCCGTAGTGGTAAATCCATCCATCCCGCTGCTCAGACAGAACAGTTTGGAATCGCCTTTGATTCCGCTTTCTCACCTCCCATATCCAGTAACAAATTCTGTCAACTCTATGCTCTAAAATATCCGGAATTGAATTGTTTCTTACATCTGCTCCCCTAACCCCCTTGGCCCAAGCCACTACCAACTCCTGCCTAGATTAGAATCATAGTGTCCTTGAGTGGCCCTAAGTCAACTGGCCACAAAACAGCCAGAGCAATGCCATCAATCCAACTGGTGCTTAAACTGTGTGCTGCCATTGGCTGGCAGGGGAGAAAGTTCTCAGAAAACCACTTGTCAATCACTCAAAAGCCATGATTCTTCAGGTAGGAGCACAGACCATCCTCCAACCCACAGCCTCCCTCCCTCTGCCCCCAGCCCCACCGCATGGCTCACCGGTTTCTGGGTCGCAGAGCTGCTCACAGGCATCTGTTGTCCTCTGTCCGCAGAGGTCCCTCACCCATGGGGAGGTGGCGTTGATCTGGTAATACAGGGACAGCTTGGCGGGGTTTAGCCAGTCGGAGATGTCCAGGTAGCTCCCTTCGCTCACCACAAAGCTGCTCCCTACAGATAAACAGAGAGGAAGACAGCTACTTTCTCTCTGGTTTCAAGTACAGATGTGCTTCCTGCTGAACCGCAGGCCAGGAACACGGACAGGTACATACAAGTCACCGCCCTTCCCACATATACCAAAGGTCCCTGTTCTCACTTGTCTGTACACATTCACAAAGCATTTACAATGTTCCAATCATGGGGTCAGCAGCCAGTAGAGACAGACACAAATCAGACACGAGAGACAGTTCAATTTAGGGATTAAGTCAGGCCCTGCGGCTGAGTGAGGCTTGGGTTCAAATCCTTCATCCAGCCCGACCAGCCATGGATTTGCAGAGAGTCACTCAATGCCTCTGGGCCTTGATTACCTCATCTGTAAATGGAAATATTAATGGAACCAGCCTCATAGGGTTACTGTGAGAAGGAAATAAGTTAATGTAGATAAAGCACTTTGCCAGTATCTGACTTGTCCTAGTAAAGAATGATTCAATATTAAAATTTAAAAGAAAAGGAATGTTAATGTCTCCGTCATCTAGGCATCTCCTCTGGAGCAGGGGTCACTGATTTCCACAGGGGCCAGGTGGGTGGGTCGATGGGAGAGACCAGCTGAGTGTAAGGGAAATAGCATAGCTTCCAGGCTTCCAGGCTTAGCTTGGTGTGTGTTTGTTTGTTTGTTTGTTTGTTTGTTTTTATTAGGCAGAGAGATTCAAAGACATCTCTAGCACCTCTAAGAAAAAGAGCAGCACCTGTACAATGAAAATGCCTTGGTGCTGGGAAACAACAGGGGAAGGTGGAGCTTGGGGTGAACGGGGCACTGCAGGTTCTACACAAAGGAAGCTGCAACCTGGCTGCAGCCAGCTCTTGCCAAATGGCCAGCGGTGGCAGGTCTTCAGATTTTCTTCAGGAGAGACTGAAAATTCAGACTTTTATTGTAATCAACCAGTTTTTGAACAATCGCTTAAATTTGTTATTGAAAGTTTGTGTAGGCCAATCTAAAGACCCTGGCTTGCTTTGCAATTTACGTTCCAAAACATTCCCCTTTAACACACACACACATGTATATACATATGTAAGCACATATACATATATGCATATGTGTATATATATATGCACACCTATATGGATTACATACATATATGCACATGCATATATTCTCTGGGGGCCAAGGAACTGACACCCACTCGGGATGGCTGCATACAGGGTGTAAATGGTAGTGCATGTATTTAGCGATATACCAAAAGAAAAATTTTACAGGGAGAACAAAAGGTTCAGATAGGACCAGACTCCACAAAGCTGGCCTTAGAGAGCGGTTCTGGATTTCTGCAGATCTAGGGATCTCGGCGGCAGGAGACCTTATATCATTTCATAACTAACAAGCCTCGACTTCTCTCCTGCATGTTCTCCCTTCCTCACTGTCCACCAACAAAACCTTTCCATGTTTGCCATTCAAATTGCCGAAGGAAGGACTCAGTGAGGAGGCATCACAGGGGCTGGAGAGCAGCCTCTGGGTCGGGTCGGTCACATCACACACAGCTGGCTGGCCGACGGCTCGGCTCCCTCAGCTCCGGTGCCCTGCGTGGCCCAGTGGGCAATGGCCAGAGACGTGGGATCCCATCAGACCTTCCCCGGCTGCCCTGAGGATCTAAGATTCCCTGCCAGGGGCATGGCAGGCAATGCTCTTTCCTGACTCACACAGGTGCCATGGTTTCTGTCACCCTGCAGACTAAGTTCTTCAGAAAAGCGCAGTGCAGCTTTGGGTGAGAAGGAAAGAGGAGTCTCCGGGAAAGCAGGGGTACATAGCATCAGGCTCGGAGATAAGAAAATGACCGTATTTGAAGCCGGCCTTGAAATCTTTGGCAGCCAAACAAGAAAGAAGAAGTCTGCTGGATCCCATATTTCAGGTTTCTGGCAAGGGAAGATATGCAAATCTACCCACAAAGCCGTATTTTCCCCTTTGGAGCTCAGCCCGAGCAGAAACATGTCGCATGGGTCCTCGTGTAGGACGCCGAACGTCACTATCGACTACAGAATTTTCTTTTAAAAAGCACAGTCATGCTGTTTAAATGGGGGAATTTTTGTATTTATTCTCACTGAAGGCTGAGGGATGGATATTGAATTCTGTCCCAGGGCTGCGTTGGGCTAATCCCAGTACTTGGGGAAAGCTACAGTGAGCCGCAAAGAGAAAGGAGGCAGCGAGACATGCATTCGGGGCTGCTGTTCGCCAGCTCTGGGAACCTGGGCAAGAAAAGCACCCCTCGGTCATCTCGTGGGAAAAGTGGGAATGGCAATTCCCTCTTCACGGGGTTAATATAAAGATTAAATGAGACAGTGCATTTCTCGTAGGTCCGATTCCCCAGAAACCAGACTCAAAGGCAGGGGGCCGTGGAGGCGCCCCCTTGCAAAGGGTTGAGCACAGTGGGGCTGGACAAGGAGAGAAGTAGGATTGACATACAGTTGCAGCAAAGACCTCAGCTCAGCTCCTAGGGAGCTCTGGAGCTGGGGTGGTCCTTCAGATTTTTCCAAATCAAGACAAGAATATCAGGCCATTGTCCCTCAGCACTAGCCAGTCACAGGCTGTGGGCTATCCCCAGGGAAGAGACATAATTTGGGCAAAGTGGTCCCTTTCCACAGAGGACATTTCTGCAAGAAAGACTTGGAGTGAGTGGTCAACCACCAACAATCCTGGCAGCCGGGAAAAAGAGTTCTAACGAGAGATTTGGACACAGCACATCTCCATATGATATTCACAACAATATGTGAAGTCTCTGGCATATAGTGAAAACTCACAGGAGCTATTCTGACTACCATTTGGATTTCTTACAAACTTGGACGCTCTGAATGCAATACCAATTAACAGATCTCTCTCAAGTATGAGAAATGTGGGTTTCTTTGGAAGGGACTAACTCCTCAACTTCCTCAAAAAGATACTCTAACAAGGTCTACGGTTGCTTTCATGGCAGAAGAGAGTGACGATCCTTTGAACACCCTCTCTGTCCCAGTCCCTGGGCTGAATGTGTCCTACGTCCTATTGACTAGTCCTTACAAGAGCCTTGCATGATAAATATTTTTCCATTTTACATAAGGTGATCTGAGGCTCAGAGAGAAGTTGATTTAACCAAATTCGTACAACTAGTAAGTGGCCATGGTAGAAACTGAACCCAGGTTGTTCAGCATCCGGAGTTGGGACCCGCCCATTGCTCTGGGCCGTCTTGAGAATCTGGGGCTTTGGTTGGGTTCTCAACAGAACCTTCTGTGGAACTCCCACTCCTCTGCATCCCCCTTTGGTGCATATCCTATCGCGTGGGAGGGCTTTTGCTTTCTCTGATAGACTGTGATTTCCTACAGGGAAGAGGTCATGAGTTATTCATGAATCCTCCTCAATCAAGCCCTCAGTAAAATGTCTGGCACACACTGGAAGTTGAGTGAGTGTCTGTGGAGTGAATTAATGAAATCAAAGTTCCATGCTTGACTAGAGGGAAGCTCGACTCCCTTCGTCATGAGATTGTGAAGCAGAAATGCCTCCACGCGGCTCCCAAAGTTTAATTCACTTCATCCTGTGACAGCCAGAATACAAAATCAGCCCTTCAGAGTCTCCCCTGTTCCAAACCGAAACCTGAACTTCACTATCGTGGCTCCTGAGCTCTCACTCACCTGATGGGCTTGTGATGTGGACAATTAAGGTGGAGATGCTGGAGGGACGCGGCATGACAAGGCAAGGCTACAGGGCACAGGGATGGCACATCAGATGGTGAAAGGGGGTAACTGTGAATATATAGTCCCCGAGGCTCCATTCAAGGAATAGGCAGAGAATGAGAAAAAGATTGACTCTGTCACGAAAGGGGTGGACTACCAAGGGGGAGCGAATGTGTCCCTAGACAGCTGCAGCACAACCGAGCGTGGGGTGCGAACCGCCTGAAGAAAGGGGGGCGGAGAGGCACCTCTGCAATGCTGGTCTAGACGCTGGGCCTTGAAGGACACGAAGGAGTAAAACAAGCGAGGCAAACATGGAGGTGGCATTTGTATCTTAAGGCTCGCCTTCAGGCTTGCTCACGGTGCTCTTAATCTCTCTAATACTTAGGACGTATTCCACTCAACTCATAGCTATATGCTCCATGTTGCAGAATCATCCATCTATCCACCCACCCACCCATCCACCCATCCATCCATCCATCCATCCGTCTGTCCGTCTGTCCATCCATCCATCCGTCCATCCATATATTCTTCCTTTAACAAAAAGGAGAGCTACTATGTGCTGCGCCCTGCCCCAGTGTCTGGATGATCGCAGGAGGAAAATACAGTGTCTGCCCATTGAGAACTGAAGGTTCAAGAAGGGACTTCAGAGGTGCCAACTCTACGGGGATGGGCGAGTACTTCTTATCCCCCTTTCTTGCCCCCTCATCTAGAACGCACATTTCTTGAAGGTAAAGGCCATGCTTTATTTTACTCTGCAGTCTCCATCGTGCTTAGGGGGTAGCAGATGTTCAGGAGACGTTGAGGGCTGTGTGTGCGTGTGTGTGTGTGTGTGTGTGTGAGAGAGAGAGAGAGAGAGAGAGAGAGGGAGCTAAGGTTAAATAGTGGCAGGCATGCAACTCTCTCTGGCTAAATTCGAGCATTACTCTGGGAATAAATACATAGGAAATGAATAAAAATGCATTATTCCATGTGTCTCATATTTCTCTAGTTTTCCAACAGACCCCTGTTTTATTTTCTTGGTGGAAAGTTCTTACCTTTTTCTGGGAGCTCTGAGATTTCTTCTTTGTGCTCAAATCAATCTCCCCAGAGAGTGAGGACTCTGAAACGAACCTTTGCCAAAATCTCAACTTTAAAATGTCATGTTTCCTTATTTTTTTAAAAAAAATATATATCTATATCTATATATATTCTCCCACTGGCTTGTGGGACTATACATCATCTAATTAGCCAAATGGATTTTCAGTTCAGCCCAATCATTTCCTTATCTACATCTGAAGCTCGGCATTGCTCAGGGGACTGCACCGGCGCGGAGGTCCTCA